GCGGCTAAAACCCTTCCTGGTCCACCAACCGTCTTATTATCCAATCGGAGACGGTGTCTACTGACCTCACTTCCTTAACCAAAATTGTCATCAACAAATCCGATAGTCCCGTGTCCTTAGACACACCCACCCCTAGCCTTTCTCAGACATAGTATCGCCAGAAAAACTTACTTATTCTGTATCCTTGGAATAGTCAACGTATCTATATCGGTCTCTACCCTTATAACAGTCGCGTACTTAACGTATCAGTGTAACTAAGTCTTACATAACGTGGTTGGAGTGAATTGTGATTTATGTTAATTCAGTGTGTTACATTGTGATTGCTGAATTCACAATAAAGTTTAATTAAAACAAAGTTAATAGTTGTGTTACGACTCAGCTATATTTTATTTTCATCAACCAACCCTAAAAATTACGTGACAAGCGCATAGTTGTCGCCGGCATGCATCACCAGTGGGTCACACGTGCCAGTCTCGTAAGGCGACGTGCATCACCGGTGGGTCACACGTATCAGTTCCGTGAGGCAGCGTGCATCGCGGTGGGTCACATTTGTATTTCACAAAATAGATTGTACGAAACAGGTTTATGTTATTTTATTTCAACATTATAAACTGACATTCAATAGTAAAAACATAACAATTTGATATTATAAACTTAACATAATTATTTACTTTTTTTATGTAATTTTTTGAAACATGTTAGACAGAGTGCCGGCTGGCTCTTACAACGATCACAATGTGTTATTACTTTTTTGGTTCTTTTCGCGGCATACTCTCTACCTTTTATTTTAGAAATGCGTTTATAACATTGTTTACACCGCCGTCTCGTTTTGCTCGCGGGCCCTTGGTACCACTGCAGAAAATGTGAAAGTGTTTTGGTCAGTACTTTATCTTTACTTGACATTTCTTCTCTGTCGGGATTCACTATATCTAAAAGGTGATAATTTTTTCGCGAAATTTTACAATTTTAATACTTTTAGTACCCCATTTTCTATGTATATAGCACGCATTTACGAGGCAAGTTTCGCATATTAATTCTATTACAATTTTTCTATATCATTTTACGGTTTTGTGCAAATAATAAGATGACATCCGATCGGATAGATCAACCTCATTTTCAACATCGTTATAAGAAAAGTGCGTATGTGTTTTCACTACTCTGGTTGCATTTTCTCCGGCATAAATATGAATGCTATAGGTGTAACCTTCCTGAATGTCCGGTTTATAAAGTTTTATCCCAGACTTATGCCGATTGCCTGGAATATATTACCGAAATCTGAGGCGCCTTCACGGAATCACGGTTTTGTCAACTACAATATTTTTACCAGGTTTAACAGTATTTTCGAACGTATGGACAATTGCTTCAACAATATTTCTAAGTTTACACAAACGGTCCTCGGTCGTAGTCGTGGAATTATCGGAAAATCGTAAATATTTAAGTATCGATATAAACCGACCGCGTTTCATCGCTTTTCTTATACATGCGTCCGAATACAGATCAGTATAATCTAATTTTAGGTAGCAGCACTAGACCCATGATAAGCAGGATACCAATAAAAGTGTTCATTTCGTCCTTTGTAACAGGTTTCCAGTCCAGTTGGTGTTCTCTGCTATTAGATACAGAGTTTTCCAAGCATTGTACAGCATATTTATTCGTTTCCTCAACGATCATTTCTAATATATTGTCCGTGAAGAATAACTTATATAAAGAAACAGGGTCGTCGCAGTCCGTGTCTTCAATTAACAACTCTTCTTCTTGCGAATACTCAGTCATGGTTTGGCCTCTTTCTCTTATTTCCTGCCATTCTTTATCAAGATCCTCTTCCTCTGAATCTGACTCGAAATCTTCTTCTTCCGTGGTATCGTCAGTTAGTTCGTTAGCTGACGATTCACTGTCATTACTTGCCTCGTCTGAAGAGCTTGAGAGTATATGTGCCCTTTGTATAATTCTCCTGCTTCCAATTATTGATTCATCAGACGAATCACTGATTTCCATATCCATGGTATATGTTATTTAGATGGGCAAAAATTAGAATAGAAAAATGCTAACCGCCTTTCTAGGAACAAAAAGAAAATTTCGACTACTTTTACACTTACTGGAAGAACTCGTTATGTCAGAACTTTACTAACCTCGCACCTCACAGAAACTTCGCACAACCCACAATACTCGCAATGTACATCAACTACTCTTTTTTTTCACTTGCTGCCAATTCTAAACTCTCAGTAAACCTCACGTCGTTGTCAAAAGTGTCACGACTATTCAAAAAGTGGCTGGGGCGTATTCGTTCCCCCAGAAGTCACTGATTTCCCTCATTAAGTGTGGGCGGCCCTGAACGTCTAATTGGGCCGCCGAAGGCCCAGAGGCAGGTCAAAGCCTAGCGCCTAGCTAAAGCCCATCTCGAGGCTCGCGATCGACCAAGGGAAAGGGAACCGATTTCCGGAAAATCGCGCGATAGTCCTCACTCACTTAGCCCGGTACTATATCTTTCTTCAGCGGTCCTAGAAACAAAACTCTAGTGCAGAGTCCCGTCAACTCGCACCTTAGAGGTTTTCTCCGTACAGCACACGTTACTAGCGCCTCGAGTGCCAGGGTGCCTGGAAATCGTCAGTCGGGGGTTCGACGAAATTGCCGCTCGCACTCAACATCATTTATGACTAAAACTTAAACTACGTCCCAACACTATTTTCGTCGTACGTGTTCCTTACGCGCGCCGTCGTTCTCCAACGAACATGCATGACTATTTTTTTTCCTGTATGGAATTGAAAAATTTGTTGATTCGCGCTATGAACGTTTCTTATAGAAAAATGTTCAGAGCATTGCGTACGATGGTCAGAATTCGCGTCAGACCTCTACCTTTTGAGAAAAATTAAGGCCAAAGCTGGTCTCGTCAGTTTAACATTTATTCAACATTTACAGATATATGTGTCGAGGATTGTGGATCTCAATTGCCGAAATAAAAGTAAAGGAACACTAAGGTTACACTTAAAATTCAAATTGAAATAATTATAGATTTATTTAATAAACGATTTCCAGGTTCTTCGTCGATATACAGGGTGGTTGGTAAATGCTGGCACAAACCGAAAGGGGGTGATTCTACGCGAAAAAAGAAGTCGAAATGTACAATAAAATTTTTTTTCTTTTTTTTTTAATTTTTTTTAAAATCTACAGTGAGATCCGTTATAACGAGACGTGATAAAGTGCATGCGTACCGAGCGAAAATTCAAAGTCGATTTTCTCGAAAACAAAGCCTGGAACGAAAAATTTTTATCCTATATTTTCGACTTCCTTTTTCGCGTAGACTCGCCCCCTTTCCGCTTGTACCACCAGTTATCAACCACCCTGTATATTTGCACGCGTCTCAGCATTTTCTTTGTCTCACCATCCTCCAATGTTACTGACGAAACAATACACCGCGACCTTAAGATACCCACAGTTAAAGAAGAAATATCCAAATTCAGTAACAGATATAATATACGAGTTAACAACCACCAAAACCCATTAGTTACCCACTTATTTGACACGACGGATCAGATCCGCAGACTAAAAAGACAATACGCTTTAGTTTTAAGCATTAGATTCAATTAGAATCAAACATACTATAAACTCCTATAATCCAAGTTACAATACCACGCCAAAATAATTTATTTATAATTCTCAATGAGAATTGATTGTAAAAAGTCTACCAAATAAAAGAAAAAAAAAGAAAACCGTCTTCCATACCATTACTGAAAATTCTCAACGCGAGAATTGATCGTAATTTTAACAAATAAATAAAAAAAAAAATCTTCCATACCAGACTGCCAACGGAACAGTTACATTCATCTGTTTTTCGAGACACCGCGCGCATACATACTTCCACACACTCATACTCATATACGTTTGTCACTACTACGCGGCCAATCTAGTCTAACACACAAAATTAGACATATCTCAATAATATGCAAATTGATATTGCCAAGCTATCGTATATCAACGTATGAGGTTGTTTGGAAAGTTTCTTTCGTTTTAGAAGGAAACAATACATGCGAAACATTTTTATATTATATTTTATTACACGTATTAATATACTGCACGTAAAATGGATCATACGATGTAAATTGGAAGATTACAAAAAAATGGATCAAAAGAATATAAAACAAAAAATCCTGTGCGTCTATTGTTTCTTTGTGAAACGAAAGGAACTTTTCGAAGTCCACAGAATTCATTAAATCCAACAGGAATCGTATAGCTTTTGTAATTTTGCTGTAAATTGAGGTCGAAGTAGAAAAATAGCGATTTTTTTCAAAATCGATTTTTTCAACAACCGAGGGTGATGGACAGAAACTGGTTTCAGATTCCTTTTCAGCTCGTCGCAAAAATCGTGTTGAACAGTATAATCTGACGTTGCGGCGCCTCACAGAGAGAACGCAGAATATCGGCGCCGGCGTCAACGTGTTAAAATAAACAGTGTTCTGCTGACTGATGTGTTCCTGGCTGCCCTATTTACCTGAATTGAAAACACTAAAATGTTTACTGATTAATACGATAGTAACTATGCCGTGTAATAAGCATGGAAACAACTTCGAAACACTTGTTACGTGCGACCTCAAGATACCCACAGTCAAACAGGAAATAGCAAAATATAGCGACAGATATAGCAAAAGAGTCAACAAACACCGAAATCCCCTAATCACTGGACTACTTGATACGACGGACCAGATTCGCAGGCTGAAGAGGCACTACCCGCTAGACCTAAACGCTAGATTCAATTAGTTATCTAAATTAAGTAATATTCACTTATTTATAATACTTACTTATAAATTATACTTATCTATAATAAGTACCAACTTATTATAAATAATCAGCCATGTCACTGCGCCACGCCAGAAAAATTACTGAAAATTCTCAACTTGAGAATTGATTGTAATTTTAATAAATAAATAAAAAAAAAACTTGTTACGTAATTGTGAGTTATCTTTAATATGAAACTTTTTACTATTATAGTCATCTGTAACGCAAAGAGACACGATCTTTTCTTTCATCGAACGATGTCGCAGAAAAGAGACAACTAATAAGACAAAAAAGGCTTTGTTGCAGTCCTTGCGAATTCTCAATAAAGAACTAGCGATATAATAAAGAATTTAATAAATCCTGTCCTTTAACTAAAACAGGCATCGTCACACGGTCGTAGCAAATATTGTCGCAGCCTTCGGCCAGCTAACAAAGGGGTCACGATGAACGTGTATCAATCATCGTATTAATCGCATCGATGATCGATTACTGGACAACGGGATGTTTCTGCCCGTCCATGGGCTTCGTACATGTTCCAGAAGTCATCGTCACGTAACTATTGTTTTAACGTGACAAATACGCAATTTTGAAGAACACGGAAAGTGCAGCTGTCGTCGGTACCAAACTTATTTCGCTATCCGAAATTAATTTGATTCGTTCATTTTCCGTTACGGTTCGATTTTGTTTCATTCTCTAAACAAATGATAAAATCTTATCTCATTTTTTATCGTTTTATAAAAATATTATTTCCATACTAAATTTATGAAATTCCCCAGGAATTCAAGAAGAGAAGACTTAATGTGTGATACTACATTTCAGATTTCATAATAAATATATAATATATACAAATATAATAGAATAGAAATACAATGAATCGTAAGTTATTATTAAAGTAGAAATTAATAAAATATTAAATCCGAGTAATAGGAACAAATATATGAACCATGAAAGCTCCTGAAAGGGTACACTAAGTAATAAAACGATAGAACTTAATTATTAAAGTATAAGTTGTTGTTTTCTTTAAATTCTCTCGTGTCTTTGTTCGGTCCATTCGCGACTTTTATTTGCATAACATAGTTTGCATGCGCGTCTAATGCTTCTTCCGGAATCATTTTTCAGAACGGCGATATTACGCTGACTCCGTCGAAGACAAGGTTTTTTGTATTTTTAGACAATAATAATAATAATTTTGCAACTAATAATTCTCTAAATATTCTAATATTTATATTCTTCCTTGTTTTGTAAACAGTCAAAGCGTTTACAATAGAAATTCCCAGAAGGAGTTGAATGCCAAGTTTTCTGTACCATTTGATTCCTTTTTTAATTGTGGTGGTATAAGAAACCATTTGATCGGAATAATCTGTACCACACTTTCCTTCATTATATTCGACAACAGCTACTGATTTTAATGTTGCGAACAAACGAAACGAGAGATCATTCTTGAGATCACCACTTGAGCCACTCGCATTACTAAAATACCGATGGGAGTACCTAGCAGAGAACGCTTGTTACTGCGACACGTGTGGCCTGAAGGAGATTTCATTGAAAACACGCGTGGCAGTCAACGTGTTAAGAGATGTAGAAACTCGACAGACAGAAATCGTAAAGAAAGATGAAAGTTACACAGAATAAGATGATCACTATGGGGAACAGCAAGTAACTCCAACATTGAAATACTTTAACGCTTCCAATCGAAAACGCTAAGATCCTTAATAAACGCACCTTGGTACGTTACCAATGAAACAATTCATCGCGACCTCAAGATACCCACAGTCAAAGAGGAAATAGCAAAACATAGCGACAGATATAGCAAAAGAGTCCACAAACACCGAAACCCCCTAATCACTGGACTACTTCATACGACGGACCAGATTCGCAGGCTGAAAAGACACTACCCGCTAGACCTAAACGACAGATTCAACTAGTTATTTAAATTAAGTAACATCTACTTATTTACAATACTTACGTACAAATTATACTTATCTATAACAAGTATTAACTTATTATAAATAATTAGCCATGTTACTGCGCTACGCCAGAAAAATTACTGCAAATTCTCAACGCGAGAATTGATTGTAATTTTAATAAATAATAAAAATGAAAAAACGAAATGATCAAAGAAGTCTCCGTGAGAACTCTTTCCACAGACATTACCCTTTAGATTTAAGCAGTAGACTCAACTAGAATCAAACATTCTATAAACACATATAATCCAAGTTACAGTACCACGCCAAAATAAAATTTACTTATAATTCTCAATGAGAATTGATTGTAAAAATTCTACCAAAAAAAAAAAAAGAAACTCTTTCCATGGTTCCTGATAAATTAAGTAGTTCGATCTATGGCGTCGTTCGCGAAACTATGCTCCATCAGAAAGCCCTATCAATCATCCCCATACAAATCGTTTCCTGTGAAACTTATTTGATCGAGATGAGTCAACGAGCGTGTCCCATATCGATTTCATCCCGTGTTAGATATTTCTTCCGCATAGATACCCACGAGGGCCAAAAAGATCGTTCCTGGAGCAAGAGAGGTCAAAGAAATTCCAGCGATACGACAAAACGTCGGGCTTGACGATTTAGGGAGAGCAACAGGGACGCCAGATGGTCGAACGAAGACAGAGAAAAGGGAGGAGAAGGAGTCGTGTAACAATGTCAGTCTATCCGGGTTTGTTCTGCCCTACTTCGTCCTTACGGCGGCTTTTGTTCACCGACCAGGCCCCTCTTCGGATCAGATCAGATTACCGGCCACGAGGCGCTTTAGCCGACGAAATGCGGGTTTCCATTGCACCGAATTGGCGACGTAAGGGGATTGGGACACGCGAAACCTGCTCTGTAACCCTTTGCTCCTTTGTGTGACCCGCTACGTCCCTTTCTTCGTCTCGAATGTCGCTAGGAAACTGAGAACCATTCTTCCGACTCGGTCAAGTTTCTTTCCCTCCCTCGTCCTTTTTCTCCCTCTATCGAAACCCACTAAACATTGCGTAATAATTAACTATAATTTTATAAATTACTTTTATTTTACGTTTATTAAATTATTATCAATTATATTAATTTAATATCATAAACCATATTAATTTAAATTATTATAAGTTATTACACATTACAAAATCAGAAAAATTTTGTAAATGCAATTTCTTTAACCACTTGCGCTGCCAATAAACTCACAGTTGCGCGTGTCGTGCACTACAATATAACACGCCTCACCGCGTCTGCGAGTGCAATCTTTTAACACTAGAACTACCGATAGTTAACACGAAGCTATTTCTACCAAAACCAGTTAAAACGACTGGTTTTTAAAAAATACGTAAAATAGAATACTTTTATATTTATTGCTTTACTACTTTCTTAAAGAAGAAATTCCATGTTATGTAATACATTTTTTGTGTTATTAATCCACGTGGGACCATAATTCCTAAACGAGGGTTGACATATTTATAAAATTGTACAACCAGTCATTTTCACTGATGTGGTATTTCTAGTGTCAGCATCTAGCGACCTGGCTATCGATCCGGAATTTTCCTGACAATTGATATCATCATACCGAATGATACGCAGTAAAAATTCAAAAAAAGTATGGCAAGTTGCACAAAACGAAGAGACTGGTTAATTGGGGCTCGACAAACAGATTGTAGGACCCTTTTATATTTTGACTGGTATTGGTATAAGTAGCCTTGATACAAAATTATTTTCAGTTTGAATACACAAAAAACAAAATAAAATCCATTATGTTATTCTTTTAGTTATCGTTGCGAAAGTCATTACATCATTGCGGACAAAAATATAACATGAAGTAAGAATTTTAAAGTAAAATTGTAAAACCAGTCAATTTGACTGCTGTGATAGTTGTAGCGTTAAGTAGCGCCTCAGCGCGTTGGTAGGGTCTTACATAAAGAATTTTACACGGTATGCGTAAATACTCACGGCAACAATAGCCTTTCATTTGTTAATAATCTATTCTGAAATATTTCCAAGATATCGATGACTATGTGACGTCGTGCACTCTGCAACTGTAGCTCGACAAACGAACGATCTAACTGTTAGCCGACGTGCAGCGTGCAGCGACGAAAAGCATCTTGACGTGCGTGGCACGTCTTTCTAGCGCAAGTGGATAAATTTTACAAAATTGTAAAATCCAGGTGGAGGAAGCAGTGACGAAAAAAGTATCGAGCGAGTTTCCTTTCATAATTACGATGTTAGTGAACAAATTTTAATAAGGTAAATTGTTTGGAAATATTGTAAATGTTGCGTCGAACGCATTGCTCCTTAATTGGTTAACGTGGATAGGGCGCTCTCCTGCAACCCTTCGTTATAAATTGTGGGGTAAAATAAAACAAGACGATGAGAGGAAGAATGCTTTCCTTCATCTCGTTGCTACGAGAATAGAATCGAGCGCACGTGGTTTTGTTTACTTTTACCTTTCGATTGTTTTCTTGAAGATTACATGGCGAACGGATGGGGTAAGTGGATACAGGAAGTACGTTGGATGGGGCTCTTTGGATCTTCAGAAGAGTCTTAATTATGTTGCAGTTATTTGGGGAAGATTCACGGAAGAAGATGAGAAAAACCCTGTGTAGGGTTCAACAGGAAGGTTTTATGAAAAGATTTTCCTTTATTGGAAATGGTGTTTGTGTTTAGAGGAGGGGTAGCTCGGAAAAATGTTTGGTTGAGTCTTTCTTTCGTTTCATTTAATTCAGTATATCACGGGAGATGATCATAATATGACAGAATAGAATAGAATATGATAAAAAAATATTCTAGTACCTTGTGTCATTTCTTTTTATCAATGTGCTGTCGACGATACAATTTAACGGCGTATTGTTTCACAGCGCACGCACGAGAAAGGAAGTTTTGAAGCAAAACAATGGCGGTTAATCGCGGATACAGTTTCAAAAGATCACTCACCCGTGACGACGACGTTAATCGTTTTAACCAGCGGCGGATGCGTTGCAACTTGACACTTGTATAAGCCGGAATCCCGCGTAGTTGCGTACTGGATTTGTAATCTCCAATTGCTCGGGTATCTGTGAGATCAAAAAATGGAAAACTTCGTTCGTCCATATATCGTTACGCGATTTTTAGATGTATTCGACTTTTATAGCGTACCTATAAAAGCGAGAAATATCCAGCTACACGACTTTATAGCATTTCGTGAAACGGAAATCGATAAAAATAGAAATTTCTATCGATACTAGTAATGAGTTCAATCACATTTCCACTGTCACGAAATCGTAGAAATTTT